TCTAGGTTTTTCACCATAAATACATAGGCTTATGTGTGAGCCTATAACTGCACTTGATAACTAAAAGAGGTTTTTATTTTCACGTAAAGAAAATGAAAATACCAAACTCAACCTACTAATAATATATTGATAAAAATACTACACATCAATTACACGTACAAAACATTAATTTTTGAGCCATGGGAAGTATCAAGACACTTCAATGATCACATGAATCCACCTGTTTAAGTCAACTATTAAGTGATTTCAAAAGTTTACCCTTCTATTATGGAGCTTTTGGTCGCAGGTGAAGAAATATGGAGAGGGTATACTTTCACAATTAGAAAATTCAACAAGTAATATAGTAGATGTTTAATTCAAATGACAATTTATAACTTCACATTACATTCATTGCTTTTGTTTGTGTTCTACACTATACAATTTTTGGATTTTTAGCTGTTGCATATACTTTCCAGTGGCCTTAAATGAGACACGGATGAATGAAAACAAATAATGTTGTCAAGATCAATTACACTAGTATTTTTTATCAAACTATTAACAATCTTATATGTTGCTCCATTCACTCATGTGGATAGGTTGGAAAGGGAGGAATATGAGACCTTTTGAAGGATAGAGGAAGATTTTGTATTGTTGATGAATAGCCTCATATTCCTTGTTTCTTTTTGGTGCATCCATGAGGTATCAATTTATTTGTATACTGAGTGACTACTTTTTGGTTTACCACTTGTATACATGAGTTTCTTCCTAACACTAAGTAAATAATTTACCTTATCAATAAAAATATCCCTCTTATTTCATTTGCATTTTTGTGTAAGGAGAATACTATAATCTAATGATAGTTGACAAAGTTTAATAGACCATTGTGGATGACTCGGCTGGAGCCACTCAGTGTCCATGTATTTTTTGGCATGGATTTAGTGTTCTCTAATGAAATATTGACTTATCAAAAAAGTGATTCCAAAGCATTCGCATTCTCATCTCTTGTAATGTGTTTCTGGTGATGAACTAGAAAGGCCATCTTTAGTAATGTGTTTGGTGATGAAAGGCTGTCTCAAGAGGACTGCTGAAAATAGATGCTCCATCCAATAGGACTTCTTTTTTAATGTGTTTCTGGTGATGAATTAGAAAGGCCATCTTTAGTAATGTGTTTGGTGATGAAAGGCTGTCTCAAGAGGACTGCTGAAAATAGATGCTCCATCCAATAGGACTTCTTTTTTAATGTGTTTCTGGTGATGAATTAGAAAGGCCATCTTTAGTAATGTGTTTCTGGTGATGAATGGCTGTCTCAAGAGGACTGCTGAAAATATATGCTCCATCCAATAGGACTTCTTTTCATTGTAATATATTTTAAATCTCAAAATTTAGCAACAAGCATTGATAATCTCTGTGCTTTTACAAAGAACAGAAAATAACATGCAGGCACAAAATTTTGCCCAGCAAAGTGCATAGGATGTTAATCCCAATTCCAGAAATTGGTAGTATTCTTAGCCTTTCTATACTATCTATTTCTTGGTATGAGTAATTAACAAAAAAAGCGCTATACAAAAATGAAAAGAAACATTAAGTGCTCAGCGCCTCAGCATGACTGCACATGCTCTTGAGATACACACACAGCTGCATTAGCATTTATCTTTCAGAGAGATGCACGGTAAGATCGTTATTAAAGTGAATCAAGTGACTCGGAAAAATTCAAAAGGACAAAATAATATTTTACGTAATTAACTTTGCAGCCCTAATAATAACGGTATCATCACCAGAAACCAGTAGTACTCTTTACCTTTCCGTATATCTTATTATCAAAGGCAAAAAGCGCAAAAAAGCTCTAAGGTCTGTTGGGGCTTTAAGCGCAAAGCGCAAATTAAGCGTAGGCTTTAATGAAGAAATGCGCAAATGGAGAAAAACTATAAATATGCATGTATAGTCCAAGATTAATATCTATAAGCATGAATACCAAATATATGGACAACGAAATTGAAGAAAATTTACAATAAAGTGAAATATCAATTATTTAGTATCACCTCTTCAATATTACGCTCATTGGCAAGGGAAAGTATGCCTTAAAGCCTTGATGACAACACTGAAGAGTCCGCTAAGCGAGGCAAAGCGCTCAACATGTTTTGAGCCACGCTTCAAGGCTTAAGCGCGCTTTAAGCGCACCTTTGATAACACTGCTTATTGGCACGAGTAAACAGCAAAAAGAGAGCTAAACATATATGAAAAGAGAACATTAGATGCTCAGATTGACCGCACATGCTCTCAAGACACATGCAGCAGCATTAGTATTTATCTTTCAGATAAATTCAAGGAAAGATTGCCAGTGAAGTTAATCAAATGACTCAGAAAGACTCTAAATGACAAAATAATATTTTACCACAAACATTTGCACCCTAATGTTAACAGTGATATCATAACCAAAAGACTAGGTACGTAAGGCCTAAATTTATACAGTAGTATTACAGCACGGTCAATCAAAAAGCATTTGTTTACCTACTTCCCTTCTTTAAACCAGAAACCTCATCTTTGGAACCTGCCATCGGTGAATGAATAGAAAAGGCCCATATTTTTATTAAATGTGTCCGTGTAAAGAGAAATTATTTACCATATTTTATAGAGAATGATTCATATATATAAGGAGTATAATGAAAATTTAAGAACATAAATTGCTGCAACGGACCTTCAGAATCAATCTTCAACTTATCATTCGGATTGATGGTTCCCCCTCTAACAAAAGCTTTAGAACCAGGTGTATCATCCGCTTGAAATGACTCTACAAACTCTTGGTACAGACGAGCTGTTTCGTTTTCTGCTCTCTGCCAACAAAATACATGTATGTTACAAGACCAAGAAACTTCATTCCACAAAGTAAACCAAAGACAGTAAGGGTTCATACTTTCTTCTTCGCCTCTTCCTCTTCTCGGTGTTTCTGGAAAGGTGTCTTCTTCCTAGAACTCATCTTCTCAGAACACACAAACTGCACAGCAGCACATGTGTATTAAAAGAGAAGCACCACCTCCACACATATGACATATCACAAGAACAACAGAGCACAATTTAATCAGAATTAAAACCACCCCGAATTGATTCATTGATATCATAACTTCAGAATCAAACGCAACATATTCAATGGGCCATAAGAAAAACTAGAATGCATGGCACGTATGTGATTAACATCATTGCAAGAAAATGGGCATCACCGCCAAATCCAAATAGCAATCAACACCAACCTCATCATGCATAAATAGTTTAGCTAAAACATCAACAAGAAACTCAACAAAGGAACCCCAAAAGAGAGAGAGAGAGAGAGAGAGAGAGAGAGAGATTGATTTTAGTCCAAAATCTAATAACCTGACCAAATTCCTAAACATATTACTCCCTCCATCCCATTTTATGTGATGCACTTTGACAAGGCACGAAGTTTAAGAAAGAAAGAATAAAATATACTTGTGTGACAACAAATCATCTTATTAAGGGTTAAAATGAGAAGCTTAAAGTTAAACCGTTTCTAACTATAGAAAGTTATCATTCTTTTTGAGACAGACTAAAAAGAACTATGTGTCGCATAAATTGGGAGAGAGGGAGTAATAAATAGTAAGAATGTATCAAACTAAGGTAGAAGTCCTCAACTACTCAATTTCCCCTAATTTACGTGACACTATTCGCTGATCACAGAGTTTCATCTGCTAATTTTGACTGCTAAATTATAAAAGCAGTAGTTAGAAAAACAATTGAAAGTCCGTTCCACTAGGGGGGGGGAAAAACATTACACCAAAGTATACATTTGATATACCTAAATGAATCTGAATCCTTGAAAATTATGCAAGTTGTGTAAAACAATATAATCAGGGGTACGGTGTCATAATCAAAACAGTGCCACATTGCAAAAAGTGGGAGCATTCAAGTAATAAATTTTCAATTGCAAAAACGAAAACATATGTTGACAAAATTTAGACGGCCAAGTTGGATGAATTAACTGTAAGAGTCAAACAATTCTGGCGACTAATTAACCATAAATATAGATCATTGGTTTACTTCAAGCTGTGCAAAAAGCCAAAATCAATTATTTCTTTAGGATGCTACAACTCTAACTCAAAGCCAGCATAGTGTTATATCATTTAATCAGGACATATAAATCAATAATAGCTCAATCAATTCAATGAAAAAAAAAATGCTTACTTTGTAGCTAGAAAATTGAAATTTAGGGCTTTGCTGAACAAGTTCAAGTACTCAGACGATATTCGCTACTCGATTAGCACTGGCGCTTTTCCTCTTTGCTCTCTGCTGGAATTTCAGTTTTTAATTTCTTTTAAGTCCCCTTCTTTTTTTGCCCTTTTAGAGCTTACGGAAAAGGTCCACATATGGCCCTTAACTATGTGAAAGTGAGCAGATTTGCCCATTCTTAATACTTTTTGACATAAATATGTCCTTATTGTCCAATTTTATCGGATGTCCCCGAAGGAACGCCCTTATTGTCCAAAACTTGCTCCAAATATATTTTTATTTTAAACGGCCTAATATGGAGTACATATTTAGGCACACGCATACTTTGATGTCATATTTGGCCTTTTAAACTTTTATTTTATTGAGTATTTTGGTAATACAAGGAAAGTTGTAATGATAACATTCCGTTAAAATTGATTACTTTCCTTCAATAAATTTTAAATACGAACAAATAGAAGCAAAGAATAGAAAAGTTAAACCATTTCTTGGAAAACCTATATCAATAAGTATATCCACAGCCTCATTTGCCTCAAAACACCACTGAATAGTCACTCTTGACATTACAACAATAAAAGTAATATAATAGACGAGTTTAGCCATAATAAGCAATAAACCAATCAACTGCATCAATTAAATATATCAAATCTCAACTCAATAGAAAAATAAATTACTTACTCGTTCCATTCAAATAAAATACGATACATTTTGCTTAGGAACAAAGAAAAATACGGTTTAGAAACAAAGAGAAACAAAGTGTATAAAAATATAAATCATTTATTGGAAGAGAAACCTAGCATTGTGTAGGTTTCTCTTCCTGTAAAGTAGTTTAGTTTCTTCTATAGTTTGCTTCTCTTTTTTTGTATTTAAGAGTTACAAAAGAAAAGCAATCAATCCAAGATAGATTTTATCATTATATTGTCATGAACCAAACAAGACATAACTTAATAATATAAAAGTTTAAGAACTACAATTGGCCAAATATGACCTCAAAATATGTATGTGGGACCAAATATGCCTCCATATGAGGTCGTTTAAAATCAAGAGATATTCGGATCAAGTATTGGAAGACATATGTATGTTTATGCTAAAGTAATAATGACGGGCAAATTCACTCAATTTCACATAGTTCAAGGGCATAATTGGACCTCATCAAATGGGTTTTTTCTAACTTGTAATGACCCGGCCGGTCACTTTGAGTACTAGCTTTAATTTCAGTATTTTGAGACCTCCCATAGCATTATATGATATTTATTGATTTGCGTGCGTGATCCGTGTTGTTTTTTGAAAAATTTTATGTAAAATTTTGAAGAAAATATTTTTGACTTAAAAAAGGCTAGAGTTAACCATGGTCAAGTTTTTTAATAAATGACATCGGATCGGTATTTTGACGATTCCAGTAGGTTCGTATGATATTTTGGACTTATGCGCATGTTTGGTTGGATTCTGGGGCGAACCGAGCGCATTTCGATGCGTTATGTGAAAAATTATGAAAATGAGTTCTAAAGTTGAAATTCTTGGGTTTTGATGATCGATTCTTGTTATTTGGTTTTAATTTGATGATTTGAAGTAGTGAGTAAGTTTGTAGGATGTTATTATACTTGTGTGCATGTTCAGTTTAGAGCATGAGCGGCTCGGGTGAGTTTTGGGTGCATTACGGATGAGTTTGTAACTGCTGTTGTTGGTGTCAACTTGCAGATCTTACAAATGCGAGAATAATTCTCGCAAATGCGAGAGTATTGCTTGCAAATGCGAGCCTCACTTTTGCGAGTGACTGCTCGCATCTGTGAAGGGAGCTGGGGAATGGGCACTTTGCAAATTCGAAGTTTTGATCGCAAATGCGGACTGTGGGAGCTCCACAAATGCGATATACTTGTCGCATTTGCGGCACTTTGGAAGGCTGACCAGCTTCGCAAGTGCGCACGTGGGTGCAGTCGCAATGCAAATATTTTATCGCAATTGCTACTTTCTTGGGGCATGTTACACTGGTCGCTTTTGAGATCTTATTTGCAATTGCGATATCGGCAACTGGTAAAAGAGGAAAAAATTAGGAAGTTAGCTCATTTTCAACCTTAAACACTCTAGAGGCGATTTGTTTTGCACAACGTTTTCTTTTCAATCCATTGGTAAGCATTTTTAACTAGTTTTCAATCAATTTTAATTACTTTTCATGAGTTTTTAACATCAATTTAAGAATTTCATGATAGAAATTAGGGTTTTGGGTAGAATTTAGGAATTTTAGAAAATTAAAATTTAGCCTCAAATTGAGGTTAAATTTCAAAATAAATCACATAATTGAGCTCCGGGGGCGAATAGGTAATTGAGTTTTGCTCCGAATCTTGGATTTTGACCAAGCGGGCATGGGGTTGACTTTTGTTAACTTTTTCAATTAGCTAAAGATTGAACATTTCATTCGTGGGTAGTTTCTAAAGCTTCTTTTGAATTATTTGAACGATATTTGGCTAGATTTGATTGGTTTGGAGGCTTGTTCTAAAGGGAAAGTCGTGGTTGATTGTTGACTTATTTTCAGAAGAGGTAAGTGTTTTGCCTAGCTTTGCTGGAGAAATTTTTCTAATTAAATGATATTGTTTGCTACATACGGGGGTGATGTATATGTGAGGTGACGAGCGTATATGCATGTGACAGGATATCCATGTTAGGGGTAGATTATACGATTCCTTGTGTTTTGTAGGACTATTATTTTAACCATGATTCAACTTGTCATAACTGGATTAAATTTTATGGCATTTTGTGAAAATGTTGATATGCTAGATTTGATCATCACTATACCTAATCACAATTACATGTCAATAACCGAAGTTTTGAGGTACTTGGGTTCCATATTTATGTTGAAAAGCACGTTTGAGTTTTATTGAGATACTTGAATAATAAGGTTCTTGAGGTTTATTGGATTATTATTGGCTCGAGAGCTAAGATTGATGTCTACGTGGTATGTTTGTTAAACCACTCTTCCTGATATTATCCATTCTTCCTACCTTGGTTTTCATTGTTATACATACGCTTGATGACGACGAGTATAAAACACGAAGGGTGATGCCGTGTCATTATATATACATTATCATGTGAGGAAGAGTGTAAAGCACGAAGGGTGATGACATGCCATTGCATATACATTATCATGTGAGGAAGAGTGTAAAGCACGAAGGGTGATGTCGTGCCATTTCCTATACATTATTATGCTTGAAGGATAATGTCGTGCCATTATTTTACATTATCATGTGAGGAAGAGAGTAAAACACGAAGGAAGATCTCGTGCCATTACATATACATTTATGTCTTCATTCCAAGTTGTCATTGTTGCACATATGCTTTTTATGTGACTTATTATTGTTGTCACGTCTTTGCTTCCTACTTTAATTGTTATTGTGCTATTTATGTTTCCTATCTGTTTATCTAGTCACAATCATGTTTTCCGTCTTGTTTGTTATATTTACATTTATGTCTTTTTCTCGTTTGTTGTGCTCTTATCTAAACCTTCTACTTTGCTAGAAAGTGAAATTTATACTCTCTTACCTTAATTTCTATCATTGCGTATGTACCTTCCACAATGTCTGTTATCGTTGTTCGTGTACTCTGCCTTGTTCATTATCGCTACCTGTGTATTTTCACTTTACTATTAATGTTATTGGCATTTTTTTACCTGGTTGGTAGTGTTATGTATATATTTGGTGAGGATGAGATAAATGCATGAATGGTGTTGACGTGCCTATTGATTTGACATACTTTCATATATTTGGTGAAGATGAGATAAAAACATGAAGGGTGTTACCGTGCCATTTGACTTGATATCTTGAACACATTCCTCATACTATGAAGATTCGTGAATTTACTATATTGTTTGGTGGTTATCGATTTAAGAAAATGTTTGGTTGTGATATAAGGAAATTGACCATGATTTCTATAGTAGTTATTTACTGCTTCGCATATTTGTTCTTGTACTCTTCTCTGTTATTCCTAGTATTGTTTCTTTTGCAAATCTACCTACACAGGTTATATTAGTGAGTATTTTTTGACTTAAAAAAACTTACCACTACTTCACCGAGGTTAGTCAAGATATTTATTGAGTGCATGGGGTCGGTTATACTCATACTATACTTCTTGGAGGACGAAGCCTAGCATTGAATACATATTAGCACTCTAGATACAGGCTACCATTTGTTCGCGGTAGTTTAGGATTTATAAATTTGTTAATGTAAATTTCAAATGTATGATGTATCTTTTCTCAAATTGAATATGTAAGGAGAAATACATAAATCACCTCTTTAAGTTGTCCTTAACGATCAAACAAATACCTCAACTGACCCATTTACCATTTAGACACTTCAAGTAATTATTAAGTGAATGAAGTAAATACATGGTTCTGATGTGGCATATGCGTGTTTGCTAACAAAATCTTGGGCGCGTAAAGTCATTTTTGCGTGAAGTCATTTTTCAGCCTAATTTATTTTCGTTGAAAAAAAATCAAGAAACCTTTTAGCAGCATAGTAGCTAGCTGAAGCAGCCACAACTTAGCCTTTTTTCTTGCTTTCTTCTTAGCTAAACCACCTCAACCTATCATGACATCACTATGGAGGTCAGGAAAGCAACCATTAAAGCTTGAACTAAGTTACTGTAAACCACCAGAAATTGTCACCTTTCACCACAAAACTCTACTGCCCATACCTTCGGAACTTCGCCTAGTTCCATCAACCCAAAATCAGTCCAAACCCAGCTGAAAGAAGCAGCAACAAGAGCTACAAAAAACTACCAATTTTTTTTCTCAGTAGTCCTGCCACCCTTATCTCCAATATAAGAAAATAATTTCTCCACCCTATTTTATATTCACAGCAGAAAATTTTACACCACAAATAACAAATTAGATAAAAAAAGTAATACAAGCCCAAATTCATAATCAAGAAAATAATGGAGAGATGATTGAAGATTCCAGTAGAATTATTTTTTTAGCTTTGCTTGGAGAACAAACTTTTGGCAATAGGGGTCGCATAATGAGCTTTCCTACGAGGTCCAGTATCGATCCCTTAGTGGGTTCTCTATTTGGTTATTCTATATTGTTGCATATTTGTGTGAGTTTTATTAATTTTTTGGGTGGATTTAAGAAAAGGGGATGTGGGACGGATGGCACAAAGAAG